CAGCTCCCAACCTTTGAACCCCAAACTCCCACTTGGCTGGAAATTGGACTGTCCCTGGGTAGAAGCAGAAAGACAGATCAGACAGCTGCTCTTCAGCTGCCTCTTTCATCTTGGTAATAGCAGACATCATATTTGATGTGATTTATTTCCCTGCCCTGGAATCTATCCACCAGTTGCTTTATCCTCAGACAGACCCAGCTTCCATCCCCTGGAGGAGCAGGGAGAGGTCAGGCAGAACCAATTGATTTTCAGGGTCTCTGGATGCAGGAACAGCCTGGTGCTTTGTAAGGCCAATTGAAGGAAGAGAAGGCTTAGCAGAAGAATCCATCAGAATGGGCTCTTCTGAGCAAGCCCTCCTTGTGCGCACCTCCTTCCCCTGGGAGAGCTGGGGGGTTCCCGCAAAGCCCCCTTTCTCCCTTCTCAGTCTCTCTCCCCTTTGTTGCTTCTCTCTGCATTGATCACGCGTGCACGCATGTGCATCTGTGCAGCAGAGTTCCTTTGTGTTAGACGTTGCTTCTATTACTGCCTTCAAGGGCTGACTGCTGGACTGCAGCTGGGAGATAATTCCGTCTTTCCATGCCCACCTTATCACTAGCTGCACACTCCCGAGCCCCTGCCAGGAGGGAGTAAATCCATCCACTTTGCATCTCCACCTTGAGACGCTTTGGTCTTTGCAGCCAGGAGAATCTCATTATTGGCAACATGAAGGCCATGCATGATAGGATTTTAGCACAGCTCTGCGCCAGGCTGAGGGATGCATTGGAAAGTGTGCGACTTGTCTCCGTGGTCTCAACAAGTCTGTGTGGTAGGGAAAAAGGTCAGACTGGCAAAGGTCAAAGGTCAGGCGGGCAGTGGCTGCTCCTGGGGGCAAAGTGCCCCCTTCCCTGTTCAAATGATTTCTTCCTAGGGCCCTGTGTGAATGAGCAGGCCCCACTTTAATACCTGATCTGAATATTGGCTTTTACAAAAACTCAAGAGGTATACAGTTTTCAAGGCAGTCCTGTAAATCCGTGTTTGTTACCAAGAAAAAGCTGTCCCTTCTCAGCCCTTGATGGGTTTTGAAAACTGAAATGATCTCCAGGCCTATAGCAATGCCAGGGTACAGAATTATATTTCCAGCCAGGCCCTGGTGTCTCATGCCTGATATCCTAGCTACTCAGGAGGCTGAAATCTGTGGATTGCAGTTCAAAGCCAACCCAGGCAGAGAAGTCCCTGAGACTCTTAAATTAACCTGCAAAAAGCCATCATTGGAACTGTAGAGCATTAACTTTGAGTGAAAAAGTAAGACCTGAGTTTAATCCCCTGAACAAGCACAAAAATAAACACAAAAGCCCTGCCAGCCCGGCACCAGTGGCTCATGCCTGTAATCCTAGTTAAGAGGCTGAGATCTGAGGGTCATGGTTCAAAGCCATCCCGGGAAAGAAAGTCTGTGATCTCCGAATAACCACCAGAAAACTGGAAGTGGCACTGTGGCTCAAGTGGGAGAGTGCTCACCTTGAGCTGAAGAGCTGAGGGACAGCGCCCTGGCCCAGAGTTCAAGCCCCACGACTGACAGGGGGAAAAAAAGCCTTTCTTGTGGTGAAACATACCTATGTTTGTATTTAGATTTGATTCTTATCCCTAAAATAGCTTATCTACATATTTTAATATTCCAAAATCAGGGAAAATCCACATCTGGTAGGGTTCTTCAACATGCATCTCCATTTTACAGATGAGGAAACTGTCTCCAAGTTCATTTCCTTTTTCTTATTATTATAAAGGTGATGTATAAAGGTGCGTATGTCAGGTAATGAGTGTGTTTCTTTTTGGACAGTGTCACCCCTTCCCTCACTGTCTCCCAGTTAAGGCTCCAAGTTCTCAAAGACCTAACCTCCCTTCGGGCAAGAACAAAGCAAGGATTTGAACTTGGTTTCATGGCAAAAGTCAGGCAAGCCCACAGGACTGGTAATTTCCAGCTTCTTTGAGTTTGGGACCCCTTACCATGCTCACAGGTGACCCCTAGTTGCTGTCATACCTTCAGTCTCATGACAAAATATGTCATAGACAGAAGTTACTCTGAACTCACAACAGCACCTGTTGGTTGTTTTGGTTTGTTGTTTGTGAAGGGAAGGTCTGTTGTTTTGTTGTTGATGTAGGTCATGGAACTTGAACTCAGGGCTTGGGTGCTGTCCCTGAGCTTTTTCAAGGCTAGCACTCAACTACCTTTAGCCACAGTGCCACTTCCAGTTTTCTGGTGGTTAATTGGAGATGAGTCTCACAGACTTTCCTGCTGGGGCTGGCTTTGAACTCAGCCTCCTGAGTAGCTAGGATTACAGGCGTGAGCCACCAGCACCTGGCTTATCATGCTCATCTTTACCTACGGCCTGCACATGATACTCAGCCTCAAGACCATGGATCGCTTTGATGACCATAAAGGCCTCACTATCTCTTTGAACCAAATCATATGAGCTGTGGCACTGAGGGTTTGAGGGTATGGGACGTCTAGGCTGTCATTTTCACACCTCATGGCTTCCCTTGAACCTCCTATGTCCCTCAGCCTGTCTGGCCCCAGCCTCCACCTGCTGAGGGTCTTCCCTGGGCTGCCCTGCCATTCCTATCGAGAAGTACATATTCTGCATAGATATTAACTCTCTGACAAGCTGCTAAGTGTAAGGGATATAGATCTAAGGTCTCCAGTCCTATTTATTCTTGTGTGTCCACCCGTGTTCCCTGTATTGGAAGTGCTTGTTCCTTGCATTGTAGGGCATGCTCCCCTCAGTTTGGGACTTTGCAGCAGCCTGAAGCTTGAGGTCATATGAGTTTGAGGAGTATGTGGAAATGCCATTTCATTGTCCGACCAGCTCGGCTAGCATAATTTTTGTGATGTGATAAAAATAAACAGTCTACCTGAAAGAAAAAAGTCCTGAGAGGGGAAGGTGAAGGGTAAAGACATGACAAACCTTCCTTGTCATAACCTGAGGTTTAACGCCTCCTTAGTGCTAAAGTTATCCGAGAATGGAAAGCTCTCCTCTCCAATGTTAAGAGCAGAATATTAATTAAATCCAGAGAACAGTTTTAGAAAGGAAAGATCCAAGCACAGAAGCCTCACATGTCTGTGACTTCTGAACTCAAAGATGGCCCCACCCTCTTTTGCATAAAATCTGAATATTCATAAGAAGCCACAAGGCTATCTTAGTACCTTCAAGCTTCCTGAGTGGAAGTGCTGAGGGCAGCAGTAGGAATAAATCCAGAAATCTTTTCCCTGAAGCAGAAAGGTGGCTGAATCTTCTCTTCTTTTGCTGATCTTGAAAAGAGGGGGCCATTCTACATTAAATACCTGGGCAGAAAACTGTGAGACTGTTATCTCCAATGAACCAGAAAAAAAGTCACAAGTGGCTCAAATGGTATCATGCCAGCCTTGAGCAGAAAAAAGCCAAAGGAAGCCGGGCATCGGTGGCTCATGCCTATAATCCTAGCTACTCGGGAGGCTGAGATCTGAGGATCACAGTTCAAAGCCAGCCTAGGTAGGAAAGTCTGTGAGACTCTTATTTCCAATAAACCACCAGAAAACTGGAAGTGCCGCTGTGGCTCAAGGGGTAGAGCATTCACCTTGAGCTGAAGAGTGCAGGGACAATGCCCAAGCCCAGAGTTCAAGCCCCACGACCAACCAGAAAAGAAGCCAAAGCAAAGTGTGAGGTTCCTAAATTCAAGCCCCAGTGCTGGCACCAGAAAAAAAGAAAAAGGGGGCTGGGAAGATGGCTCAGTGGAAGAGCACTTGCCTTGCATGCCTGAGGCCCTGGGTTCGATTCCTCAGCACCACATAAGCAAAAAGAAAAAAGCCGGAAGTGGCGCTGTGGCTCAAGTGGTAGAGCGCTAGCCTTGAGCTGAAGAGCTGAGGGACAGCGTCCAGGCCCAGAGTTCAGGCCCCACGACCGGACCCAAAAAAAAAAAAAAAAAAAAAAAAAACAGAAAAAAAGAAAGAGGCCTGAGAAGACAGCTTAGTGGTAGAGTGCTTGCCTGGCATGCATGAAGCCCTGGGTTCAATTCCTCAGTACCACATAAACAGAAAAAGCCTGAAGTAGTAGCACTGTGGCTCAAGTGGTAGAGTGCTAGCCTTGAGCAAAAGCAGCTCATGCCCAGGCCCTGAGTTCAAGCCCCAGGATGAGAGAGAGAGACTGAGACAGAGAGAGACAGAGAGAGATAGAGAGATCACCTGTTCCCAGAGAGAAGCCTGCGGCACACAGAAGCAGGATCTGAGTGATTTTGTTTTTGTTTTTACCGGGACTGAGATTTGAACTCTAGGCCTGTGCTCTATGGGCAGGCACTCTACCACTAGAGCTCTGTCCCCATCCCTCCATCCTCCTCCATTCTCTGTGCTGGGGATGGAACCCAGGGCCTCTTACTCTGGATTGTTGCATGAGGCTCTGTTGCTAGTCTTACTTCCTTCACAAAATAACCTTTCCTGTTTTCCCTGTTAGTCTTGGAGCTGAGTGCTTGCTGCTGTTGCAGATACTGACCACAAGGGGGTGCTGGCCCCCAGACAGCTACATCAAGACTGCAAAGCCACTCTCCAGTGGAGGGCCAGATTCCTAGGGCAGAAAAAACACAGTAGTGGCTGCCCTTGAGAAAGCTGCTGGCGGCCCGGTTGGTGTGTCCTGGGTCCACACTACTTAGCACTGTTGGAACAACAGTTCCCCGTACACGTGTGTGGTTACCCCATCCCTGGCTGGACCCAGGGATGCTGAAGTTTCCCACATAGTCTGGATGGTGGCCTCAGCCAGCTGAACTCTGAGCTGGTGGAAGAATGGTCACTCGAGGGTCTCACCAGCGTCTGGGCCCCAGGAAGTGGAAGCCCCATTGCTGTGATTTGGGGGCTGGGGGGGGGACACATGCCCAGGTAGATCAGTGCTGCACATGTGCATGCAGGCATGTGACATTATGTCTTTCATGGCTATCGGAAAGTCCATCCCAGGACCCCTGTGGCTGGGACACTGACCTCCTTTTCTTGGGTCTCTCTCTAGATTGCCAAGGCATCATTGAAGATGTGGTCCTGCTGGGGGCACCCGTAGAAGGAGACCCCAAGCACTGGGAGCCTTTCCGGAAGGTGGTGTCTGGGCGGATCATCAATGGCTACTGCAGGTCAGTCCACAACTGTGTGCCCTTGGGAGGTGACAGCAATTTCCACACCCTCAGTGGGGGCTGCTGAACAAACAAGCTGGGGCCCAAAATGGGGGGGGGGTCTTTTGAACCCTGGAGCCCAGCTATTTGCCGTTTACAGTGAAGGAAGATGAAAGCAGCCTATGCCCAGGGTTTGGGCCTGCCTGCCTGCCTTCTTTCCTTCCTTCCTTCCTGCCTTCCTTCCTTCCTTAGTGTGTCTATGTGTGCCAGTAGTGGAGCTTGAACTCTGGTCCTGAGCACTGTCCCTGAGTTTATCACACAAGGCTGGTGCTCTACCACCTGAGCTATAGCTCCACTTCTGGTATTTTGCAGTTGCTAATTGGAGATAAGTCTCACAGACTTTCCTCCCTGGGCTGACTTTGAATCATGATCCTCAACTCTCAGCCTCCTGAGTAGCTAGGATTTCAAGTGTGACCACCGGCACCAGGCTAGTCAGAAGTTGATCCAGTTCCTCATCCTCCCAGTGCTCACTCAGTCTATAAGGCTGGGCCACAGCTCAGCAACGGAGTGTGTGTTTCCTACATGTGTGTCACCCCATGTTCATACCCAGTATCACAAAACAAAACTCAGTGTTCAGGCAACAGATCTGTATCTGCTGTATCTGTATCTGACGCCATTCTTGGCTCTGGGGATCCAACAGGGACTAAACTAGACAGCCTCATGCAACCTCCATAGTGCCTGGGCCCAGCCCTTGCCACCACGCCTGGCCAGGGACAGATTCCCAGTATCAGCAGCTACTGATCCTGGGTCCCACTAGACTCCCTTTTAGACTGATGTAACCTCTCTCTGCCCCTAGGGGAGACTGGCTGCTGAGCTTCGTGTACCGTACATCTTCTGTGCAGCTCCACGTGGCAGGCCTCCAGCCCGTGCTACTGCAGGACCGGAGGATGGAGAACGTGGATCTGTCCTCTGTGGTGAGTGCCAGCCAGTGGCCAGTGACTCCCCGTGCCCCGCCCCTGAAGACAGGCACCTGGAAGGCTCCTCCCTCTGCAGCTGTGTTCCCACCCCTTTGTTTCTCAGCTCCAATCCTCCCACACAGCTGCCTGGTCAGAATTGCTGTCCCCATTTCACAGATGGGGAAACTGAGGCTTAGAAAAGGCCCCCTTCTTACTGCTAGCACTTAGCAAGTGAGGCTTTTCAGCTTGAAGGGATCAGGTTCAAGGTCTCTTGTGGAGACAGAGGACCTGTGCCTGGCTCCACCCTGAGCCCATCCTAGGCATTAAAACTCCCATGGTTCACATGTGAACACTGAGGCTTAGAGAGGACAGAGAACCTCAGTGATGCCAAAAGAATACAAATAAGCAGGGTGCCGGTGGCTCACATCTGTCATCCTAGCTACTCGGGAGGCTGAGATCTGAGGATCAGGGTTCAAAGCCAGCCCGGGCAGGAAAGTCTGTGAGACTCTTATCTCCAATAAACCACCAGAAAACGGGAAGTGGTGCTGTGGCTCAAGTGGTAGCATATTAGCCTTAAGCTGAAGAGCTGAGGGACAGCGCCCAGGCCCAGAGTTCAAGCCCGATGACTGACAAAAAATTAAAAAAGAAATACAAATAAATTTTAAAAAAAAGGAATCAAGGATAAAAGAAACAGCTGGAAGTTCTTTTCTATGAAAGTTCCTTTGGCCAGGCACTGATGGCTCATGCCTATAATCCTATCTTACTCAGTAGGCTGAGATCTGAGGATCATGGTTCAAAGCCAGCCTGGGCAGAAAAGTCCATGAGACTCCTATCTCCAATAAATTATTCAGCGAAAGCAGAAAGTGGCTTTGTGGCTCAAGTGGTAGAGCACTAACCTTAAGCACAAAGAAGCTCAAGGACAGCACCCAAGCCCTGAGTTCAAGCCCAAGACTGGCAAAAAGAAAGAAAAAAAGTTCCTTTGAATGCCCAAACCCCTTGCATGATCAGCTCTGCCCCAGAGAAGGGGGTGCTGTGGGAAACACCCAGCTTTGGCCCTAGAGATGCCTGGCTTAGAATCCTGAACTGAAGCACTGGTGTGCTGGCTGTGGGGCCTTGATTGGCTCTCTCCCTGTGCCTCTGTTTCTTTTTCTATAAAAAGGCAGACACCTCCCAGGGCAGCCCAAGGAAGATGCTTACACACAGTAGGGCCCTCACCGAACCCTTCTCCCCTGCTTTACTCATGCTCAGCTCTGCCTCTGAGCCAGACAGCCTCTCTCCCACGCCTCAGCCGAGCTCCTACACGCAGCTCCCTAGTTTCTGCCTAATAATAGTTCTTTATCACATTAGTAGCACGGCCTTCCCTCCACCGTGTGATTAGAGGTAATTAGCATCGTCTGAGTGTGGCACTCCTGTTTGCCTCAGAGGAGCCCAGCTGCAGGAGATCTTGCTACCTGGAAATCTAGTTCCGAGCAGACCACAGAGCACCATCTCCCCGCCTGCCCTGTCACAGAGGTCATCCCTGGGGTGAACAAAGGGACCAAGGTCAGCCAGCATTCCTGACTTTTGGTTCTCATGATTGCAGGGGGGGGAGGGGCAGGGAGATTCTGCCACCCCAGGGCCCAGTGGGTGAGGCTGCTGGGGGGCCCTGGCCCAGGGAAGGACTATATCCAGAGGAGATGCCATCGGGCTTCTAGAGCTCAGCATTTCTCTGGGCACCAGCAGCCATTCAAGAAAGGCTGAAGTCTAGGGATGGAAGTTCAAAGCCAGCCTGGGCAGAAAAGTCCAAGAGACTCTTATGTCCAGTTAACCCTCAAAAAAGCCAGAAGTGGAGCTGTGGCTCAAGTAGTAGAGCACCAGTCTTAGGTGGGTGGGGGCGGAGCGGAAACAAGAGCATGAGGTCCTGAGTTCCAGCCCCTGTACGAGCATGCACAGGTGCCTGCACGCACACACACACACATACACGCAAATTAGAACTCAGCAAAGGACTTGGTACAAAGCAGTAAAAGTATCCGCAACAGCTGCTGGTGTCAGGAAATGCGCTTTGTCCTGCATGGAGATTTGTTCCCCGAGGTGGTTCCACTGTGAGGATGTGGATGACAGGGCTGGGACCAGCAACCTGGGAACCTGCTGCAGAGCCTGTGCCCTCAGCCATGCAACCCCCCTGCATTCCTACCGCTCTGTGTCCTTCCCATCGCCTCAACTCTGTCCATGCACCTGACCTTAGCACATCCCACTGGAATCTCCCAGCAGCCCATGTGGTATGGACATCTTCATCTTTTACAGAAGGGGAAACTGAGGCCCAAGAGGTGAAAGGAACCAAGGGGCCCTGTAAGCTTGGAGGGGGTCATTGGAACAGGCAGAAGGGGCTGTGACAGCCTCGGTTTGGTGCAGTTGAGGTCTCTTGAAAAGGAAGAAATAGCTGGGTACAAGTGGCTCATGCCTGTAATCCTAATTACTCAGGAGGCTGAGATCTGAGGATCAATGTTTGAAGCCACCCCAGGCAAGAAAGTCCATGAGACTTATCTACCATTAACCACAAAAATAAATGGAAGTGGAGCTGTGGCTCAAGTGATAGAGCACTAGCCTAAGCAAAAAAAGGACAGGCAGGAACACACACACACACAGGAAATAGGAAGTGCCAGGTCCATTCCTACTCATGGGGATCTGGGTTTGCATGGTGACCAGAGGTGGGGCCACCAGGTGTCCAAAGATGGGGACACCCCCAGGGAGGGTCCTTAACCTGTGAGGGACCATATGAACCACCTTTCCACACCAGGGAGGACCAGGGTGCACCTGGACAACAGGCAGACTTCGGCAAGACAGCCAGGGGGATTCACAGGCTGAAATCGTTAGTCAGTATCAGCCATGTCACTGATTCGAATAAAGATGCCTGTCCTCCCTCCAGCTAACTGTAAAATTAGAGTGCCGGTAGCAACTTCTCCCCACTGGGTTTGTGCAGAATGGCAGCCAGGAAGTAGGGTTGGCTGAAACCTGGCCTATAGGGTATAGCCATGAAGACCAGGCTGTGTGTCCCGGGACAGGTGGCGGTAGGCTCTCCACCAGCAGTCACCTGCAGCAGGTGACTACAAATTTCTCTGTGGCCCCTTCCCACCCAGCCCTGACACCAGCTCTCATTTGTCCTTAAAGAGACAATGACTGTCCCCATGGGTCTGAAGTTTCCGTTGGCTGGCTGTCAAATGTAATGTCTAGAGCTTAAGCAGCCATCTTGGACTTCCAAATGGATCATCCTAGTGACTCCCTATCTTCCATCCTCCGCTTCTAAGAAAACTAAAGAACTGAAGACGCACCGGCTAAGTGCTAGGAACTGTGCATTGGATTTGCATGTATTACCTTGCCACCAGCCCCTTGAATTTGTGTGTCAGTAACTCAAATCAAGCAATGTGCCTAGGGAAGTGTTTTATTTTATTTTTTGTGCCAGTGCTGGGGCTTGAACTCGGGGCCTAGGCACATTCCCTGACCTTTTTTTTTTTCCTCAAGGCTGGCATACTACTGGCTTCTGGTGTTTAGGAGTTAAGAGTCTCACAGACTTTTCTGTTCCAGCTGGCTTCCTCAGCTCTCAGCCTCTGAAGTAGCTAGGATTTACAGGCATGAGCCACTGGCACCTAGTACACAGCTTTGAACATGGGCTGTTTGTGATCCCATACAGCCAATCCACACACCTTGTCCAGGACATTGTCCGCATCTGGACCTTCAGATGTATGTGTGTCATCTTGGAAACTCTTTCAACGTATTTGTAAGGAAAGGAACAAGAGGCAGGCCAGTTCTGGCGGTGAGAAAATGACAGAACCCAACAGGGGATTGTCTCTTTGTGTTCTTAAAAAAAATTTTTTTGAGGGGCTGGGAAGGTGGCTCAGTGGTAGAGCGCTTGCCTTGCATGCCTGAGGCCCTGGGTTCCATTCCTCAGCACCACATAAGCAAAAAGAAAAAAGCCAGAAGTGGCACTGTGGCTCAAGTGGTAGAGTGCTAGCCTTGAGCTGAAGAGCTGAGGGACAGCGCCCAGGCCCAGAGTTCAGGCCCCATGACCGGACCCAAAAAAAAATTTTTTTTTAATAGTTCAGAGTGATTGGTAGCTCAAATGGAATTATAGGTTGTTTCTAGTAGTCTTTGGTTCCCAGGATTCCTAGGGAGAGACTCCCTGCTGTCCTCCCACCCTCCTTTGAAATAAAAACCTTTCTCTTGGACTCAAAGGAAGGCTGTGGCTTGTACACACCTTTGGCCCATACAGCCACTCTGTAGACTGCTAGGGAGATCTCAGGGCTCCATTTTGGGGATGGGTCTGAGCTAGGCATGCATCTCAAGAAGGCATACGGAAGCACGGCACAGGTGGCTCACATCTGCAACCCTCGCTGCTGAGGAGGCTGAGACCTGAAGATCACAGTTGAAAGCAGCTCAGGTTTAAACCATGAGACGCTTATCTCCAACTCAACAGGAAAAAAACCACATAGTTTTGTTCTTCCTCCACAGTATGTCATTAAAGCTGGCCCCCATCCTCTCTGGGCTTGTTTCCTCATCTGTAAAATGAGAAGGATCCAAGTCTTTCCTCCCCAGCAGATTCTCTCTGTAGAGAACAGGTTTTTGAAACAGGCCTAGACCCCAGTTCTAGCTGTGACATGTTCCAGCTGTCTTCCCTTGAGGATTGCCTTGTTCACTGTGGCTCAGTTCCTTCATCTACGGTTAGCAGCCAGCAAAGTTAGTGGTTAAGATCTATGAATGACCTACTATGTGTCCTGCATTGCTCATTATTTCAGGCTGTGGGGCACTGCAGTTACACCCCAACTTTTTACTCATGGACATATCCCCACACAAAGCAAGGAGTTTTATTCTCTGACAGAGTGGCACTTCTAAGAGTTTTGTTTGTTGTTTGTTTTCTGCCAGTACTAGGGCTTGAATGTGGGACTTGGGCACTGTCCCTTAGCTTTTTTGCTCAAGGCTGGTGCTCTACCACTTGAACCACAGTCTACTTCCAGCTTTTTTTTTTTTGGTAGTTGCATTGGAGATAAGAGTCTCACAGACTTTCCTATCCAGGATGGCTTTGAACATCAATCCTCAGATCTCAGCTTCCTCAGTAGCTAGGATTATGGGTGTGAATTACCAGCACCCAGATACTTCTAAGTTCTTTGTCCTTATTTTACATGGAATTTAAGACCACGTTTCAGAGCCATGCTAAGTGTCTGAAACACACAAGCGTTGACTCTGTTGCATTAAAGACACCAGGAGAGGCAGTAAAGGGCTGCTTTGATGGTTCAGGGGCCCAAACTCTGTCTGGCTACTTGTTATGCAGGCCAGAGCAGCCAACTCCTGATCTAAGATGGCACTCCAGCTCTAGCCATCCTGTCTGCATTCCAGCCATCAGGAGAGAGGAAAAAGGGAGGCAAGAGTCCTTTTCCTCCCCCTGAAGAGAATCAAGGAGTACCATGTAACAGCGCTGCTTCATCACATGCCTATCTGTACTGCCATGAGAGAATACTTGAGTCTGGAGAGTTTACACTGAGCAGAAATCCGTTCAGCTAGAGGCCGCAAAGTCCAAGGGCCTGGCACTGGTCTCTGATCTGTTGGGGCCTTCCTGCTGGGTCATCTTGTAGCAGAAGAAAGGGCAAGGGAAAGAGGAACCACTTTTATAACAAACCCACTCTCCTGATGCCAGCGTTAATCCATCCACCTCTTGTTCTTGCTGGGGGTGGGGGGAGATTGTTTGTCTTTTTGTTTCTTTTTTGTCAGTCATGAGGCTTGAACTCTGGGCCTGGGCACTGTCCCTCAGCTCTTCAGCTCAAAGCTAGAGCTCTACCACTTAAACCACAGCACTACCTCCGGTTTTCTGGTGGTTTATTGGAGATAAGAGTCTCACAAACTTTCCTCCCTGGGCTGGCTTTGAACCTTGATCCTCAGATCTCAGCCTCCTGAGTAGCTAGGATGACAAGCGTGAGCCACTGGCGCCCAGCTCTCCCACCTCTTAATGAATTCCAAGATGTGAATTCAGCTTGGCAACCCTGCCCCTCCCCCGACCACCATGCTTCTCACTCCTGTCCTCCCATAGGTCAGCGGCCACCTGGACTATGCCAAGAAGATGGACGTCATCCTGAAGGCTGTGGGCATCCGCACCAAGCCAGGTTGGGATGAGAAAGGGCTTCTGCTGGCTCCCGGAAGCCTCCTTCAAGAAGACCCCAGTCAGGCAGCAGCAGGTCCCTCTGAAGTGGCCATGTCCACCCACTCCAGCCAATCCCAGAAGTCCACGGAGCTGGGCCAGCCTGAAGGGGACCCCCTTCCTGCAGCTGCTGCTGGCCCAGCTGAGAACTCCTATATCTGCAGTCATGGTGTGAGCCCCAACCCTCTGGGCTGCCCTGACTGTGCCCATGAGACCCCGGGACCCTGCCCAGGGCTGGACTGACCCCAGTGAGGGAGCTGCGTGTCTCCTCCAGATGTCCTTATGCAGATCGTGCTCGCCCCTCAGCAGGTGGAGGGTTTCCACAAGTGCCTTTCCCCAGGAGAGGGAATCAGAGGTGAAAAGGAACTGGAAGGAAGAGAAATGGAGGAAAACACTGGCCTCTCTGGGAAGTGAGGGCAGAGACCTTCAAGGTCTCCGTTTGAGCCCTGGGACTGCAATCCAGCCCTGGACTTCCTGCACTTGAAGTCCCAGTGGTGGGGCCTGGCTGTTCATCAAGAGCTCTGGGAGTCTCTCTTGAATCTAGAGGCACCCATGCCACACCTCCTTTCCCTGGGTTCTGTGAAGCCAGGGGTCCGCCTTCACTTCCATCCACACTCCAGCACTGCCTGCCAGCCTCAGGCCCCACCAACGGGCACCTACAGAGCAGACCCAGGAGCCAAGGGACAGCATCTTCTGCTCTTAGAAGAGTGAGTTGGCTTGGTCATGTTCTGCTATGCAGGCTGTGCACTGCGCAAGGACAGAAGCAGCAGTTCTGCAGACATGATACGAACAGCACTATGCTAAGCTGTGCAGCAGCGTGGTAGGCCTTGGCGTAATCGTAATAAATGCTGAGCTGGTCAGTGTTCCCTACAGTGGGAACTGGGCCTGGTAGTAATTGTGGATGGTATGGGAAGGATCCTGCAGTAAACACAGGGGTGTTTACAGGCTGAGACCTGAGCACCATGGTTCAAAGCCAGCCCAGCAAGAAAGCCCATGATATTCTTGTCTCAAATTAAGCCAGAAGTAGAGCTGTGGCTCAAGGGGTAAAGCGCTACCCTTGTGCAGTAACAAAAACAAAATAACAACAACAAAAACAAAATTCTCGGGGCTGGGAAGGTGGCTCAGTGGTAGAGCGCTTGCCTTGCATGCCTGAGGCCCTGGGTTCCATTCCTCAGCACCACATAAACAAAAAGAAAAAAGCCAGAAGTGGCACTGTGGCTCAAGTGGTAGAGTGCTAGCCTTGAGCTGAAGAGCTGAGGGACAGTGCCCAGGCCAAGTTCAGGCCTACGACTGACAAAAAAAAAAAAATGCATTCATCCGTTCTGTAAACATGTATGCAATGTCATGCATGGCACACTGGGGCCATCCGGAAGCAAATTAGGGGCCGAGTCCAGACCTGAGCACAGGCCACGTGAGCCCAGGGTCTCATCCCACAGCCCAGCTGATTCCCAAGCCCCCTCTATTCCCTCAACAGAATCCGGTCCATGCCATATCACTTCCTCCAACTAGTTTATTGAGAGTCCCCTCCAGCAGCCTGGAGGCAGGGGAGCCCTAGCAAGCACCATGGACTGCCCTTCCGCCACCAACGGCCAGGGCTGAGTTGAGTCAGATCAGCACCAAGGACAGCGCCCAGCCTTGGGCAGAGGACCCTGGGGAGCTGGGTTGATGGGCCTTTAGGGCTTTAGAGATATCTTGGGGCTGGAAAGGAACGTAGGGAAGGTAAGTGAAGAACCAAGAGTCCTCCCGCTGCCCAGGAAAATAAGGCCCCTGTGTCCACACCAGCCACCACATGCCAGAGACTCTTGAACTCTGCTGACTCAAGCTGCTGCCAGACCCCTTTCCCTCACTGACCTCAGGGAAGGGTAGAGGAGGCCAGACGGGGCCTGAATTGAACCCCAGCAGCTCTAAGGAAACCCAGGGAGGAAAGCCCATCCCTGGGGTTGAACAACCACTGCTCTCTGCCCCTGTGCCTACGTTGGGAGCTGAGTCAGGCCCTGAGTGGCAGGGACCCACCTACACCTAGCTGGGAACCAGACTCAAGATGTAGGAATCTGAGTGGGGGCTGAGGAAAGTGCTGTGGGCCTGGGACATGGGCTCAGGGGAGAGCACTGGCATAACATATGCAGGCCCCAGGTTCCATCCCCTGCACAGGGGGAGACAAATAACTCTTCCTTGGCCCAAAGTCTGAGCTAGCAGGCTGACTGGCCAGGGATTAGAGCAATAGAACAGGCCACCTGCCAATCCCTTACTGGTGCTTTGCACAACACACACACACACACACACCATCCTAATTTTCCAGGTGAGACTACCAGGTGGCCTTATGGCCCCATTTCACAGATGAGCTAAAATTCAGAGAAGCTAAGAAATCTATGCCAGGCCCTGCACTGAGGGGACCTGCCTGATTCCCAGGCCAAGCCACTTCTCAGTAACACACATACACACACACACACACCCTGAGCGGATGGCAAGTTAAGAGCCCAGCAAGCCATCCTCAGGGTGAAAGGTCATCCCAGCTAGCACTTCTGTAGTGGCACACACGCCGTAAATTCACTCGGGGACCGGGCTGCCTTACAGTTCTGGCTTAGCAATTGATGTGGGGCAGAGAAGAGCATGCGTATAAACCCCCAGGGATGACAAGACCATCCAGCACCTGCACAGGGGAGGGGCTGGTCAAGCCAACACAGGTTCACAGCACTGCCATCACTCAGAACCCAGAGCCCCAGCCCCATACCCAGAATCCTCCAAACTTGCTCTGCACAAAACCCCAAGTTGACAATGGAGTCAAACACATCTCCAGCTAAAGGAATTGACTCAGTGCCTCACACACACACACACACACACACCGGAGTTCAGATGTCTCCCAAGCAACCTGGCCTTGGCCAGGAGTTAGCCAAGGCTTCAGGCCCCTGCTCCTGCTGGTCAGCTCCAGATGTGGTCAGTTGGTGGGGGTGCCAAGAGGATGCAGCCGCAGCTCAGGCTCCACTGGATCAAGATCGAAGAAGTTGACCACTGCGGCAGCCCTGGTAGTTGGCGGGGGGTCCCGGGGGGCCTCTCCAGGCAGCAGCAGCTGGGCAGTGAGCTGCAGGCCTGAGGAGCCACCTGAGTCTGGGTCGGAGTTGGAGTCTGGTGGCAGGGGTAGCGGCATCACCTGCTGCAGGCTGAGGCCTGGCCGGGCGCCACTGTGAGAGGTCCGCATGGAAGGAGAGGCAGGACTGGCCCGGAGCTCCTGGGGACAGTGGGGACACGGCAGGAACCGGCCCAAGGCCCGCTTGAAGTCCCGCATGAAAAGTGGGTAGATGATAGGGTTCATGGTGCTGTTACAGTACCCCAGCCAAGTCAGGACATCGAAGAGGCCTGGGGAGATGCAGTCACACACAGCCTGGAGGGGGAGGAGGGAGAACAAGTCCCACCTGACCCCAGGGCAGGGACCCAGCCCAGCCTACCCAGTGTGGAAGAGAAGAGACAGACCCTCTCCCCTCCCCACACCTGAGGCTTGGATACATCTTACCCCAGGCTGTGGCGTTACCTGAGCAATGTTAGCCAAAAAGAAGGGCAGCCAAGTCACAAAGAACATGCTGAGCAGAATGCCCAGGGTCAGGCTGGCTTTCAAGGCCTTCCTGCTGTGTCTGGTCGCTAAGCGCCTGCTCTCAGCGGATTCCACCCCAGGGTGTGGCGTTCTGGGGACCTGTGGAAAGGAAGGCCACATGAGTCACTGATCCTAGCCAGAGAAGGAACCTTGACCCTCATTCTAGACAGAATCGTAATACTAGCAGTTAATGGAGTGCGACTCAGCCCCTAGACTGAGACTTGACACTGATGCCAAGCTGAATTGAATTGACCCAGGCTCCAGAGCATTTGCTGACACCAGCAGTAAGCTCGGTACTGACCATGGTCCTGACCGAAATCCTGACACCTACCACGTGGCCTGGAGTCTTCCAGAACCAGTCTCAGACTCAGTCTCAAACCTGGATCTGAGCCTTGATCGTAGTCCCACACCAACTCCCAACCTGGCCTGGCCATCTTGCAAGGAGCTCCCGTCAGGGCAGTAAGGTCAAGCAACAGCACCCCAGAGGAGAGGTCAGAGAACAGCCCACCCTACAAAGCCAGCGCTCCACAGACGCCACAGCACCTACAAAGCCTACAGGCACTTCAGGAATCAGTTACACTTGAACTAAACGACTAAAGAGGACCCGATGCTCTCCAGAGCTGAGTTATTTGTTTGTAAATAGATTTGCCCTCTCTGTATTTTGGAATAATGGTTGACCTGAACAATTGTTCTCATGCTTCACAAAATAGAAATGATTTTTTTCTTTTTTTTCTGAGAATGTATGCACACACAAAACCAATGCGTGGGGCTGGGAATATGCCTCAGTGGTGGAGTGCTTGTCTAACATGCATGAAGCTCTGGGCTCGATTCCTCAGTACCACATAAACAGAAAAGGTCAGAAGTGGCAATGTGGCTCAAGTAGAGTGCTAGCCTTGAGCAAAAGAAGCATAGGGACAGCACCCAGGCCCTGAGTTCAAGCCCCACGACCAGCAAAAAAAAAAAAAAAACAAGTGCAATTCAATCTTTTATGGATTGCTAGGGACAGTAGTAGCCTTGGCATTTCAGGACTCAGTTCTGTCATGGACTGCAAGGCATCTCCATGTTGCATGTGGACAGCAGGAGGCAGACAATGAGGGGGAAAGGAAGTGCCAGCTGCCAATCAGCAATTCCCAAACACGTAAAGGCTCTCCAACTGGATGGTCATACTTCTTGACCACTTTAAAAAAAACATCTCGCCTAGCGCCGGTGGCTCGCACCTGTAATCCTAGCTACTCAGGAGGATGAGATCCGAGGATCTCCAGCCCAGGCAGGAAAGACCATGAGACTCTTATCTCCAATAAACCATTCAGAAAACCTGAAGTGACACTGTGGCTCAAGTGGTAGAGCACTAGCCTTAAGCTGAAGAGCTGAGGGACAGCACCCAGGCCCAGAGTTCAAGCCCCACGACCGACAAAAATACAATATTTATAAAATCAGGTACAGCCAAGTGAAGTGGTTCCAGCCTGTAATACTGGCTACTTGGGAGGCAGAGATAGAGGAGGATTGAACTTCTGAGGTCACTAGGTACTCAGGCTGAAGAATCACAGTATGAAGCTGCACCCTGGCAAAAGTGTGAGACCCTATCTGAAAAAGGGGGCAGAGCTTGAATGATTGTTCTGCCTAGCAACCAACAAGCCCTAAGTTTAAATCCTCATATTGCCCAAAAAAAACTATACACATACCCAAGCACATGTACATGCATGTGCATGGAGGGGGGGGGGGGGAATGTGCTACACTTGTGGGTCCAGAGCATCTAAGAAGCCATGAGAGCTGGAGTATGAAGGTCCTCCACAGACCATGTGTTAAAACTGATTTAGATGTTCCTAGATCCGTGTAAAAAAAAAAGTGACAGCCACCTACAACTACAGTTTAAGTGTCATGTGCAGACACGCAGAGGGGGTGGGTGCTGCCTTGGAACACACTTCGACTGGGGAAAATCAGGGGGTCCACATACCCAAATCCTTCCCTAAGTTGTATGACAGCACAGTTTTGTTTCTGAAAGCAGCCGGAGGCAGGACGCGTGTGGGGTCAGAGGAGGCAGGAAGGGACCCAGTTTCCCAGCAACCCTTGCAGATGGAGAGGGGGTGGAGGCAGCCAAGTGAAGATTTGTCAGGGCCTTCAAGCCAGCTTCACAGCCAACACCCCCAGCTCACTCCTGGCTGAGCCCTCCCTCCACCGGCTCCTCCCCCCTCCTCTCCCAGCAGCCTCCATGCCCAGAGCTGGTGCCTGTCCAAGGTGCTGAAATCCCCGCTTCTTTCCACAGGACTAAGGAGTTGGAGGTCTGGAAAGCGGAAAGTTACAATGTACAC